TTCACAAAGTCTATGGCTAATAAAGATGCTCAAATTGAGAAACTGCAAGCCGACTTTGAGGAGGCTAAGGTCGTGGTCGCGAATGCCGCGACCCAAGCCTTCGAGAACGCAATTGCACAAGCCCAGGTTCTGAACCCTGGCCTTATTACTGATGGCATGGATGTTGCGTATGACGTGAAGGATGGCGCCATTGTCCCCGGAACTCCGGGTTTTGACTCTGATGGCGAGGAGAAGGCCGGTTTCGATCTCGTGATACTCGACTTGCGATTTGCCGAGGTTTCGTTAATCGATCTAGGATTATTTTTTGTTCGTCAACAAAATTTTCATTCCTTTGTTTGATCGTGAAGCTCTTGAGGCTTCAATTACTTGAATAGAAATCGATATGCATTGATAACCCGATTGAGGTCACTGCTCATTTTATTTGCATTTCAAATGAAATCTATTTACAAGGCCGAGCTTAAGAGCTCGTTTTATTTGCTTCGAAATAAATCTACCTACTGACTGAGCTTAATAGCTTGTCTTATTTTTGTAGAAATAAATCTATCTATTGACTGAGCTTGATAGCTCGTCTTATTATCTCGTATTTCAGGCCTAACTATAGTAGACCTTCAGCTTGTCCGCGTTCCAAGTTCTCTTTACTGGCTTCTTGGAGATAGTTTCCAAGGTGTTGGCTCCCTTTCCCAAATTTTCTTTGATTTTGTAGGGGCCTTCCTAGTTCGCGGCGAGCTTTCCATCTCTGACATTCTTGTTGCCGATGTCGGCTCTCCTTAGCACCAGGTCGCCGCTCTGAAATGATCGAGGTCTGACCTTCTTATTGAATCTAGCAGTTACTAGGCGCTTCACCATCATATTCTTATATCTGGCGTTCTCCCTGCATTCATCCAATAGGTCGAGTTCTACAGTGAGTGCCTCCCTGTTTTGACCTTCAGTTCCTTGTAATCTCTGTACCCTCCTCCAGGATGGTTCGCCGATTTCTACCGGAATCATGGCCTCGCACCCATATGTCAGCTTGAACGGGGTTTCTTCTGTGGCGGATTGGGTGCTTGTCCTGTATTAGACGAGGTGTAGTTGTTGCACCCAATTTCCTTTAGCATCGAACAACCTTTTCTTGAGCCCGTTGATAATCACCTTGTTAGCAGACTCGACTTGTCCGTTGGTCTGAGGATGTTTCACTGATGCAAACCGATGTGTGATCTTGAAGTCGGTCATTAACTCCTGGAACTTTTTATCAGCAAACTGTGTCCCATTGTCTGTGATGATCTCGGCGGGAATTCCGAATCGGCTAATCAGGTTTCTTTCAAAGAATCTCTGAATCCTGGCCGAGGTAATGGTGGTGAGGGGTTCGGCCTCGATCCATTTGGTGAAGTAGTCGACTGCCACTATCAACCACTTGAGTTGTCCTTCAGCCGCGGTGAAAGGTCCCAACAGGTCCATCCCCCATTTGAAGAATGGCCATGGTGCCGTGATAGTTTGCAGCTCTTCAGGAGGTGCACGAAGGATAACGCGTGCTTCTGACATTGTTCGCACCTTTTGACGTGCTCCTTCGCGTCCGCCTCCATAGTAAGCCAGTAGTATCCAACCCTCAGTGCCTTCTTGGCTAGAGCTTTTCCTCCCATGTGATGTACATTTATGCCTTCATAGATCTCGGCCAGCGTATATTCAGCTTCATTCTTGTTTAGGCATTTTAGCATGGGTGTGTAAAAACCCTTTTTGTATAGTTGCCCTTCTACTATGGTGAAGCAGGCCGAGTTCCTCACGAGTTTTCTGACCTCTTGTGTCTCGTCTGGCAGGACTCCTTTTTCCAAGTAGGTCACTATTGGCCTCCTCCAATCCTCAGTCTCGATTATTACCATGACGCAGGTCGGCTCCGGGATGCTCTGCTTTATCACAGTACGATGATTTCCTGAACCCTTCGAGTTGGCGAGTTTTGACAGGATGTCCGCCTTGCTATTTTCATTTCGAGGTATGTACTGGATTACCACCTCGTCGAACTCGGCCAATAGTTCCTTGACTTGTTGGAGATATTTCATCATGAGAGGCCCCTTGGCTTGATATTTTCCTTCAACTTGTGAAGTTACCAGCTGCGAATCGCTCAGGATTTTTATCCTTCTTGCTCCGTGTTCTTTTGCTTGCACGATCCCGGCGATGAACGCCTCATATTCAGCTTGGTTATTTGAGGTCGAAAATGCTAGGTGAAGTGAGTGTTCAATGGACACTCCCTCGGAGCTTTCAATTATCACTCCGGCTTCGCTCCCCTTAGAGTTTGAGGATCCGTCGACGTATATTGTCCAGAGATCTTCATTCCCTTCTCCTTTTTCTTTGGACGGGGTCAGCTCCAGGATGAAATCGGTCAACGCCTGTGACTTGATTGCCTGCCGGAGCTCATAGGATATGTCGAACTAGGAGAGCTCGACAGCCCAGTTAATCATCCTCCCAGCTAGATCGGGCTTGTGTAATACTTGCCTGATGAGCTGGTTGGTTCTCACAATCACTCGATGACCTTGGAAATAAGGTCGGAGCCTCCTTGCCGTGGTAAGGAGAGCAAACGCCACCTTCTCGAGCTTCTGGTAACGGAGTTCAGGTCCTTGCAGTGTCCGGCCTACGAAGTAGATCGGCTGTTGTGATTTGTCGGTCTCCCTTACCAGAGTGGCGCTGATGGCCTCTTCGCCGATAGCAAGGTATAAGATCAATGTTTCTCCGAGCTCTGGCTTGGACAGTACGGGAGGGGTGGCCAGACAACTCTTTATATTTTCAAATGCCGTTTTGCATTCTTCCCCCAATCCGAACTCTGCCTTAAATTAAGGAGCTTAAAGAAAGGCAAAGCCTTTTCTGCCGACTTGGGCAGAAACCTTGTTAAGGCCGCAAGGCGACCCGTGAGTTGTTGGATTTCTTTCTTGTTTTCTGGTTGCTTCATCTCAAGGACGGCCTTGCATTTGTCGGGGTTGGCCTCAATTCCCCGGTTGGTGAGCTTGAAGGCCAAGAATTTTCCAGCTGGTACTCCGAAGGTGCATTTGGCCGGGTTCAATCTGATCTTTCGAGCTCTCAGTTGCTCAAATGTTTCCCTGAGGTCGGCTATATGTGTAGTTATATGCGCTGACTTGACGATCATGTCGTCGATGTACACCTCTAGGTTTCTTCTAATTTGATCTTGGAAAACACGGTTCATCATCCTTTGGTAGGTTGCCCCTGCATTCTTGAGGCCAAAAGGCATGACGTTGTAGCAAAAGTTTCCCTTTTCTGAGATGAACGAGGTCTTCTCGTGGTCATCAAGGTGTAGCGGGATTTGGTTATACCCAGAGTATGCGTCCATGAAAGATAATAGCTGAAATCCTGACGAATTGTCAACTAGCTGGTCAATGTTTGGCATCGGGTACGAATCTTTCGGGTAGACCTTATTGAGGTCGGTGTAGTCCACGCAAATTCTCCACTTCCCACTCGGTTTCTTCACCATCACCACGTTGGACAACCAGGTGGTGTATTGTATTTCCCTGATGAAGCCGGCCTCCAACAGCTCGTCCACGTGTTCGTTCAAAGCCTGACGTCGGTCAGATCCTATCTTCCTCTTCTTTTAGGACACTGGCTTCGATCCCGGGTACATAGAGAGCTTATGACAGCAGAAAGCTGGGTCTATTCCCGGGATCTCCGAAGCCTTCCATGCGAACACGTCGGAGTTTTCACTTAGGAAAGCGGCCAGCTCCCTTTTGAACTTGTCCTCAAGGCCCTTTTCAACCTTAGTGTGCCCTTTTCTTTCCTTCCCAATGCTGACGTCTTCCAGCTCTCCTTGGGGTTCTGGACGAGGGGCTTGGAGCTCCTCCCTCATGTCCAGTTCCACCAAGTTTACTTCGTTTCCACATGGGTGTAGGGATTTGTCCCTACCTCCTCCATTTTTGTGCCGAGGGGGAGAGGACGGACCTCCTTGATTGACTCGTAGGGTCTCATAGTAGCACTCCCTGGATTCTTTCTGATCCCCTCTTATGGTGATAACTTTGTTCTTTTCCCCCGGCATCTTCAGGGCTTGATGCTTGGTGGAGATCAACATGTCCCAGTCGTGTATTGTAGGTCGGCCAATGATCACGTTGTAAGACGACGCGGTGTCTACTACGACGAAACGAACCCTTCCAGCACAGAATGAATCCTTCGTCCCTAAGGTCAGCTTCAAATCAATGTAGCCCTTTGGGGGGGATGACGCTCCATTGAACCCGACCAGCTCGGTGATGCATGGTTTCAAGTCCTTCTCGTCCAGGTTCATCCTCTGAAAAGCGTCCCAGAGAAGTATGTCTGCCGAGCTCCCGTGATCAATAAAGATTCTCTTAACCCGGCAGTTGACTAGCACTCCAGTGATCACCAAGCCGTCAGTGTGTCCGGGTACAACCATTTCTATTTCCTCCTGAGTGAAGAACAGTCTTGGGGGGGTAGGATTGTTGGCTTTCCCTTTGAAGGTCGGCCTGTCTCTTACTGACATGACCTCCTTCAGGTACTTTCTTCTTGAGTTGGCTGTGTCTCCTCCTCCACCCAGAGCTCCGCTTATCACGTTGCACTCAAATTCGGCTTCCTGGAAAGCCTCATCTTTATCTTCGACCTCTTTGCCCTTCGTAGGACGGTCTTGTCTCTAATCCTTTCTATCCTCTCTCTTCGGGCTTCGACTTCGGCTCCGGCTTCTCTGCCTTCGCTTACTATTCTTCTTGCCCTGAGTTCGGATGATGTATTGTTTCAATTTCCCCTCTCCGATGTGTTTTTCGATGGCATCTCGGAGGTCCCAGCAGTCATCCGTGATGTGACCGTTCTGTTCATGGAAAGCACAGTATTTGTTTCTATCCAATCCACTCTTGGCTTTCAGCGGTCGAGGTCTCTCGACGTTGCGCATTTCAGTTTGGGCCACCTCTTTCCATATCCTAGACCTGAACATGTTCAAAGACGTGTAATCATCATATTTTCTCCTTGGGGATCGGTCGTCCGACCTCTTGTCCCGAGTGTCTTTTCCATTCTTCGACCCATGTTGATCCCGATCTTTGTTTTTCTTGCTTGGGCTTCGACGATTCGGGCTTCGTCCTCTGGAATCCCTATAAGCTTTCTGCATGTCCTCAACATCAATGTATTTGTCCGACCTTCTTCGGAATTCTTCCAGGTCATTAACCGGGTTCTTGTAGATTGACTTCGCAAGCGGAGAGTCGCCATCTAATCCCGAGATGATCAGATGGAGGTGTACTGACTCAGTTAAATTCCGAACTTTGAGGGCGGCATCTTTAAACCTATCGAGGTATTTCCTCAATGATTCATTCTCCTTCTGCCGGATTCTTCCCAAGGCGTATACCGGCATTGGATGCGCCTTGCTTGTTGCAAAGTTCAGTCGGAAAGTCTGGGCTAGGTCCTCGAACGAGTCGATCGAGTTGCAGGAAGCCTGGTTATTCAAGCCATTGCCTGACCTGTCAAAGTCGTCGCGAAGATTCTGGCCTTAATAGGTCCAGTGATCCCATTGAACAGCATCTCGGTCTTGAAAGCCTCTAAATGGGCTTCTGGGTCCTGACTTCCATCGTACGGAGGTATCCTGGCACTCTTGAATCTCGGCGATATTGCCAAGTTCATGAGCCTTTCAGTGAATGGGCTATCGTTAGCCTCCTCATCAAGGAGATAATTATCCCCTTGGTTGTTGCCTGGCCCTCCACCCTCCTGATGATTCCCGAGGTGGGGGTTCTGCATATTCTGCACGTTTCCTGCTGCCGCAGCCGCGTTCTGACGTTGCGGCCCGCCATCTCCAACATGGCCGACCTTTCCAGCTCGGCCTTCAGCGTTTTGATGTTGGGGTCCGCCATTCCCGACCTGGCCTGCTCCTCCAGCTCGGCCTTCAGCGTTTCAGTTTTGTAGCTCGGCTTCAAATGCCTGCATCCTCTGGGCATCCAACCTTTGTTGAGTCAGGAATCTGTTCTCCATTTCCTGTAACCTTTGAAGGATTGCGTTCATGGCCACCGTGGTCACGTCTCGCGGTGGCTCATTGTGTGGAGGTGGGCGAACTGAGGCCGCTGTCGTGTTGAGCTGGGTTCTGGAGGGTCGTCCTTGAGTGCCGACCTCGCCGTCCTGGACCTCTACCAGCACAGGGGTCGTAGCCGATTGGAGCTGTTCCAATGCAGGTTGGTGTGACGGCATACCATAAGGCTGAGGCTGAGATTGGTGTGGCGGCATTTGGGCAGTGCTGGACGTCGAACGGGTGTTCGTCATCGTGGAATGGGAATCGAAATTTATTGTCCCCACAGACAGCGCCAATGTTAGGTCCTGGATAGACCGTATTGCTATACCGTGAGGTATGCTGTAACACCCCGTATATATCCGGCATGTTATCATATCATCGTATTAAGCTGCACTTAATTAAAATTGCGGAATATCTTTTTCTTTTCAATTATGATGTCATTAATCATTACCAACTTGCTTATTAACCAATTAATAAAACATTGTCTGTATGTAAATTGCAAAAGACAGCTAACTGAAATACCTCATTAATTAAACAGCGTAAATATGTCTCTAGTCACGGAACTATACACGTAGACTGGACAAACTAACAGTTTATACAACTCCAACTAAAGTACTAACATCAAGTGGCATGGACAAACCCCATGCTCACACAAATAAGGCAACAAGCCCAACATAGTCTCATCATCAACAACATAGTAATAAATGGCTGAAAACATAAACAGCATCCTATCCAGCATCCAAACATGTCAGCAGATAAACAGTAATATCATAATCAGCTAAGCTCCGGCCTCCTGCCGCCTGAGGCATCAGTCCCCAAACTACCTGAACCTGAAAATGGTGCCCCAAACGTGGGGTGAGATCTCTAAAAAGAAATCTCAGTAAGACAAGGGGTGCTCAAGGATCTTCCACCCCAAGCTCACTTACATGTGCAATATAAGTTCAACAACAGTTTAACAATATAATTTCGAAAACAGTGCAATGCAGCAGATAATCATGTCATGTGTGTCAATACTATTCTACTGGCCAGAGAAATGCAGGATTTATATACGTCTAATACCCACAAATAATGCAAGACGCTACTTGCATCCACCCCGGATCACCGTCTTGTATGACGCTACATACTCAGGCTTACCGTCAAGATGGAACAACACATGCATATTAAAAGCCATTACATATAAAGCTCAACAGCATTTCAAATATCCAAAGCATGTAACACAGCATGCATATAACCATCTCCCCATGGGACATGGTGGAACCACAACATGGTTAAACCGAGGACACGAAAGCTTACCTTGCAAGCTAACTATCAAATGCCAAGAGTCCACACAAGCTCAAGGTCCACAAACAACACAATCACAATCTGCCCATACCATAATTAATCATCAATAATCATAGTTCAGATTCCACTAAGTGATTAAGGCTTTCTTACTCATTTTAACTCATTTCATGTTGTTTCTGCAGGAGGTATTCTAATACTCCATGAGTAGTATTCGAAGACTCCAGCTCTCCATAAATTATTCGATTACTTTCATTTAAGTATTCGAATACTACCAAGTATCCGAATACTTTTCCCCCCAGTATCCGAATACCACAGTATCCGAATACCAAACCTCACTGTATTCGAATACTTTCCAGTATTCGAATACTTCTTCAAAGGTATCCGAATACTTTTCTTCCCAGAAAAGTATTCCCATACTCCTGCCAGGAGTATTCGACTACCAGATTAAAACTACCGTTGCAACTCTTTACCAAATACTCTAAGATTTTACTATGTTAAACTAGACATCTCAAGCTTTCCAACGACATATCTTATGCCTCAGTCGGAGTTGTATAACTCCGGTTATGATTTTTGCAAAGTTCTTACAACAAGCTGAATTTCCAGCAATAGGGTCTCGACTTCAAACATACACTGAGAGAAATTCACTTATCCAATGAATCTGAAAATTTACAGGGTTGTATCCCTATGTGTTAGCTTCACATAGGTCCAAACCTCACTCAATTTAGAGCTCTGAAGCTCAAGATATCGCAATATTACTAAACTAGGTCGCTGCTGTCTCGCAAATTATGCGATTACTGCCTTTTTCTAGGAAGTATTCGAATACTGCCCGAAAAGTATTCGAATACTTCTTCGACAGAATGCAGAAAACTGAGTTTTAAAGGTAAAATCGACCTCCAATGATCCAAACTCGAACTGGAGTCCAAGAACTCCTTAAACATATGTTTATTAACATGTTATGAACCCAGAAACACATTCCTTTTATCAAATGGTTCAAGTTACGATTTTTAATTGCTTAAACAAGCTTAAAACATCAAAATACACAAGGGTGATCATGGTATACCTTCAAATGCTCAAAACTTTGAAAATGGCACTGACTTGGAGCCTCCAACACAGCTCCAAGGTACTGACTTCCCCAAGATACGAATTTAACACACCAAGGTTGGTTCTTTAAGCAAAAAGGTTACTACTTGGCAACACAAAAGTCATGAACAAAACCTCACCAAGGTAGTTCACAAACTCAGCCCACAAACCACCACTCACAGCCACTAAACTGACTTCCCACAGCCACCACACTCAGAAAAAGTACTCCTTTTACACTCACAAGTCCAAAGCACACTCATACCAAGAGATTTAGTGAAGAAACTATGGAGAAAGGTGATCAAAATGGTGATTTCTCAAGCAAGGAAGAGGGTGGCAGCAAGGGAGGCTCAAGGTTCAGCAAGGAGGCACATAATGTTAGAGATTTCTGACCTAGAAATCTGTGCCAAGGCCTTATATAGGCCACTTAAGTTTTAAACACACAATATTAACATTAATAGTTACGCTTAGCATTTTAATCTCAAACTTGAAATTCTGAACCTACTTATTTTTCTAAGATTTTTCATATTTTTATTTTATTTTTTGCAGCACCTTTCCGGTACGCGCTTTTCCATAGCCAGTATCAGTTCTGACACCAGTTCTCATTATTTTAACTTGAAACTTGTTTTACAAGTCCTATATATTATTCTAGGAATATTCATGCACTTATTATAATTTTCCGGGATACTTCATCGGTACGCATTTATACCGAGTAGCAGAACCGGTATCTGCACTTTTCGTGCGAAAAGCGACTTTCAACATTATTACTCACTATAATTATTAAAGCCTCATAATAATTATTAGGGTCAATTATGGAATTATCTCATAATTATCTAATTAATTTCCTTAATTAGCGGTGCGGGTTCTTACATATGCGCTCAGAGATAGTGTATAATCAAATGTATACTAGGTTTATAGCCGAGGTCCCAATCACTGCGCACAAGCAATAGGCTTATAGCCAAGGGGTGGGTGTGTGCACAGTGTGGGCAGTATTCGTAAATAGGTTAAAAGTGTGTACCTGCGGTCCTTAGGCTCTTATTTATAAGGATTACCTTCCTAGGCCTGGGCCTTTTGAGCTCCCCAGATTGCATTAGGGTTCAGTTCCCTTTCTGTTGGGATGTGACCCTTATCTTGTGTACTTTGACTAATCGATGTTGTTGAGATACTCATGAATCTATCTCTTAATAGATTCTTAGGTGAGTGGTTGGGATATGATATTCATATCCATAACAGTATTAAAGCCTTAGTGACTAAGTAGGCACAAGATCGATATCGATCCTCACCGCCTCAATTCCATTAATAAATAATTAAAAAAAATTGTAGATAGACCTGTACATTTTCCACCTTTCTAGTTTAATGGGCTCTCGCGTGAGGGGGCGTGTTAGAGAAATATAATATAAAATCTTAATGTGGCCTTCACCTAAAGCTTAAGATGTTGGGTTGACACGATGCTATGATGCTTTACAGTAAGCTGTTGTATTCCAATGTTTATTATCTCTCATCATAATTATATTTTTAACGAGGTGAACCTCACTGCTATAATTATTCCTGGACTTAATTCCATTGTTTATTATCTCACATCTAGCTGAATGTCATCGGCTTGGCAGGCTGTGAATGTTGATTCCACAAGGATGCTCATCACTGAAAGTGGAACCAACAATCTTGCTTCTTGCTACAAAATTTGTCGCAATAGGCCCAATACGTCAACTGGAAAAGACACAGCAGATGACCGTACTCTGATTGCATAATTCTAAATCAGATCTAGAGAAGCTCCAAATTCTTTTAGATTCAGAAAAGATATTGTCACAAACTGCCCTAACTGCTCTAATGCGAAAGAGGAATGAGCTGGTAAGTTTTTTATTGTTTTTTTCTAATGACAAGGATGCATATACTTTATATCCTTTGCCATTAGCTCTGCATGGGAACCTAAAACATGTATAATTGTTATCCTAGAAAGTATATACATGTTAACCTAAAACATATAGATACATGATTATGTATTAGTAATTTGAGTGAATCCACACTTGAAGTGAAATAAGTTTCTTGTTTCCACTATTTTTGTCTTACTTGCTGCAAATTTTTACATTTAGAAAATAAAGAGTAGCAGATAGTTCACAATGTACATACTCCCAGACACTGTATGCCAAATGTTGTACTGTTAATTATAGGCAATTGTATATGGATTGGACCATTAAAATAGTATTCTGCCTCCTTTTCCCATTGACAGCTCCTTTTGTACGTACTTTACTGGTTTTACTTAATTTTAAGGATTACCTTGCTACTATCTTTTGAATGCTCAAAAACTTTATATTTGCATATATCTTAGACTTAGTTACTTCGTTCAGGCCCTTCAGCAGCGCGAGATAGAGGATGAGATTGCTATTTGTGATGAAAAAATTCGGAGAATGTTAGTTGGTATGTTTTCCATCCACTGTGTGTTTTATTTTTTATTTTTTTTCTCTGGTGCATTCTTCTATCAGTTTGACTTTTTCCTTCTTTTTTTCTCTCTTTATTGTGTTTGTTTCTTGGGGTGTCCCCCCGCGGTACTGAGAATTGTCCAGGTCTAATGAATTCAACTAGCATAAATTTTTTTATAGGGAATGAGTGGTGTCAGAATTTGATCAATTTGACAAGCATGTAACTTTAAAATCCTGATATTATAAATTCAACAAGCATATTAGATGCAAGAAGCAATTTATTGATAGTGTTTATCCTTGAATTTGAATTCCATTCGATTTATGTTTGGTTATCTGACTTATGAAGATCATCTCAAACTTAATCTAACCGTAAACTGAGGCTCTTCTTTGAAGATCTTGGATTTGCTATTTGAAAATTATGTATTTATGATTGCCACTCGCCAGCTCTTTTACCTTTGCATCAGAAGATTCACAACTGCATAGCACTAGTTATATGCTATCTTTTCAATCCTACAATGTACAATCCTGGCGAGTTTTTGCTACTAGGCTTAGAGCCTGAGACAATAATTGACTTACGTAAAGTGTGATTTATCCCTTTCTTGTTTAGTCTTTGTCCAAGTGAAATATGAACAACCATTGATTTTATTTTTGTGTCATGACAAAAGTAGATGGGGAAGATGACTATGAATTAATGGTAGAATCCATTATAGAAGGTTGTAATGATATATGGTTAAGGAATCAAGAAAGGACGTGTGGACAACAAAGCGTATCTTTTAAGAGGAAAAAATTGTCAGAGGCTGTCTTTATCTTGCAAAATCCATGCCAGGCAAGACATGTTCTGTTTACTTACTAGTTTTTACATTTGAATTTTTTTTATGACTACGCTAAACTTGAAAATATGTTTTGTTGGGTTATTTATCAATATAATAGGTATATATTGGTGTTTGTAGTTATGGTGCATTGAAGCCATCACTAAGTAATTTCAGGCATTTGATACCAAAGGAGAAAATAGTTTACCACATATACGATGCTTTATTATTCTCTTTAGTGCTGTGCACACAATATCAAATGGTTGTTGCTAATTTCTTGGAAGCATTGTATTGGGTATATTATTCTCTTTTGTTGCTAATTTCTGGCACAGACATGAATATATGATTCAATACTGATACGAGAATACAGTGATTTAAAAACTATTTGTATTGGGTGGTTTCGTCCTTACAGCTGGACACATTTTTACTGTACAACGAAAACTAAGTTATGGTGGAGTATGGAGAGGTTATTAATCCATGCAAGTCTCCAAATATATTATACCCAAATAGGAGTAAAGCTTGGCAGAGAGGTTGGCGTTGTTTAATTATTGAGAGCGATTCCACTTCGGTGGTTGCTTTGCTCACCAAATGTGGTGATGCAACTCGCGGGTCTTGTCTGGTGACTCAGATACGAGCACTTCTTAATCCCGACTGGCAGGTTTTGGTTGTACATGCATTTAGAGAAGCCAACAGCTTTACTGATTTTTTAGCTAACTTTCCCCTCAATAATTCTGGATTACCAGATAATGTTATCTTCGACGAGCCTCCTGGTTCGTTGAAGCTTCTTCTCCGGGCGACATGATGGACATTTCTCATCTTTGGTCATCTTTGGAGAGGAAAGGGCTAATCTTTTTATTTTTATGTCTTAATTTCTGTCTGTTTCTGCTGTTTCTATTCTTGTATAAAAAAAAAAAATGCAGTGTGGGATCTTAACCTTTTTCAGTTTGTGTTGTATACATCTTTGGCAAGCCCCATTTGACATATTAGTTACCTATCTCTGTTCTGTGATATGCTGCTGTACCTACAGCAAGCAAGGATCCGCGTCCGGATCCTAGGATACGGCATCGGATCCTGAGTTTTTTTTTTTTTTTTAAAAAGCCGTGGGGCCCACTTTTTTGCTTCAGCTGTAGATAACACTATCTACGGCAGCTGCAGAAATGTTAAGCCCATATATATATATATATATAGGGTCAGGATCATTTTACACCAGTGTAAGTTACACTCTTAATCTTGTCCGTTGATCTCACTTATATCTAAGGGTTCAAATTTTTTAATGATGTGAACCATTGGATACAAGTGGATCAATGGTCAAGATTGAATGTAAAACTTCTAACTCTTACACCAGTATAAGAATATCGGTCCCATATATATATATATATATATTTGGGAGTGATCTATTGTCTTAAGAAACATACTAGAATATAACTTATTAATTAGCAGCACATACCAACCATCCCGTTTATCTTCATTAAAAACAAGTACTTCTTAAATTCTGTTAATCGTGCAGGAACTAGATGGTGTATGTCATGAAAACAACTGGGTCCTACCAACTTATCATCTATCTCAATCAGATGGTAAGAGTATCTAATCTAGAAGTTGAATCCATCAGCGGCATAATTCTTCTCATGAATTGAGTAATGCACAATTAACAGTATACCTTTTTAATTAAATTTAATGAGATACAATTGAGATTTTATCATTTCACATATCAGTGTACTTTTTTTGTTCACCTTATGATACTTATTAACAAGTGTTCCATTTGAAGGTGGATTCCAAGCTAATGTAACTGTTAAAGGAGTGGAGTTTGAGTGTTCATGTGGGGGTAAGGTGTGTTCCAATCCCCGTGAAGCAAGAGAATCATCTGCTGCTCAGATGTTGACTAACTTAAGAAGTATGCCAAAATAAGCACAATAGTGTTGGAAGCATAGAAATTGCATGCTTCAATGCTTCCCTTTTGGTTCCTAGTTTTCTCTTGTACAATAACAATGTGAAGAAAACTGCACTGTTCATATGGTTGTATTGGAATCAACACCCGGATGTGTGTGAATTGTGAAACAGGGATTTTCAATTAATGTTTGACATGTGAGCTAATTGTTTGCCACCATGCTAAAACTCAGCAAGAATTTACCAAAGAAATATAAAAAATACCAATTCCAATTAATCTAAATAAATATTTAATGTTTTGAGTGTCACATGGAATAGTTCTTGCACACACAACATATCCCACGTGCAAAATTTCCTGATATTGGTATTTTTTTTCTTCTAATTTTTTATTAAAAAAGAATTTGTTATTTTTTATTTTGGTAGTCCTTAAACTCACCTAATGTAGTTTAGATGGGATTAATGCCCGTTCTTTACAGCTAATCGACCAAATTAGCAATAGTCAATAAATCACCCATATACTTGGTGAAAAGGGGGTAAACAATTTATTGTCCAAAAATTATAATAAAAGACCAACGTATAATAAATAATCCTACAGTGTCATTATTCAATACAAATTTAGAATTTTGTTACTGATGAATGCAAGTGAATAAAAGGAGTTATTGAAAAAAAGAAAAAAAGTTAGCATCGATATCTATCGAAAGTTCTCAAATATTCATTACATATTGATTTTGTAGTAAATGTCTATATACTATTATTAATAAAAAAAATTCTTGATAAGCATTACGTTCTATCCAAGACAAAAAAATGAGTACTAGATTAATATCAATGAATGAAGAATAAATCTTATTTGTGTAGTTTTAAGATTATAAAATTTAACAATTACACCACCAAAGAATCCACACCACTGTCACTCATTCCTTATTTATGAGCGGCATCATTCGTGTCAGTGATAAAAAGTAGAATTTTATTTAAATGATTACAATAAAACCTTCGAATTCTTTCGTTTTTTTTTTGGTCAAATAAATTGTCGTTTAATATTTGACAAATTAAAATACTTATTAAATAATTTTATTTATATTACCTTCTTACTCTATTAATGCTTTTTCATTTCACTTTTCCCAAATTAGAACCTCTGGAAGTTATAATTATTTTGAAATAAATGGAATAATTGGCATTTAAAAAAATGAGCGATATGCTAGTGAACATAAAAATATTTACTTTACAGTAGGACATGGTAGTTAGTAGTTGAGAGCAATAAAAAAAGTTAGCTCACTCTGGCTAACATTTTCAAGCTCTAGGCTTTCGCAAGTCTGCAGAGACATCTAATCCTAAAATCCTGTAATTACAATCTTCTGTAATACAATCTTCCCGACTTTACAGTAAAAATCTTTCCTTTACCTAAATCATCAAGGGAGAAAGGGAAAACCGATTAGTCGGAAATTTGCATCATCCTCTACAAAATTCAATAAAAACACCCAAACCGAAGTCTTGATATCATCATTCGTTACTTTATCTTTGGTTTCAAAAACGCCCTTCATAATTCTCGTGTAAAGCCTTTCAAGTTGTGGAATGCTGTAATTTTCAATACGCTTGACAAAAAGCTGCTTGACAGACTCCTCTTGTATTGAAAAGTCACCATCTAGCATTGCGACATCATCAAAACTGCTGCTATCAGCAAGGCTATTTGTACAAGTTCCCTGCACATTTGCATCAATTGACATTGGGTCCAGCCTTTCAGAATTTACGTCATTTGCGTGATGCTCCTGGGAAGACTTTGATGGTACAGAATCTTGTGACTTGTCTTCTGCTATAAAACCCAATTGAGAAAAAAAAAAAAAAACTTCAAAATCAGCATTTTAACAGGAAGTTTACAGGAAGAATGAAAAAAGTGAACAAGAAATTAATCATTGGAAATCAAGTAACACCAATATCATTTTGTTTATAAGCATAATCAATCATATAAAAACAAGTGCATGACAAGCAACAACTTGAAGAAGTATAGAGAGAATCCACAATTCTTAAAGATGCCTCTCTAAGTCAACACTATCATGCCTCACCCATGCTTAAGACCAAAAGAACGGTTCTGGTCAAAATATTCACACTTCCATCTTCGTTATTGCTTTTCTTAATTAGTATAACTTCCTAATGTTTCAGAATCACGATAGCAAAACAGCAATACTAGTATGTATAAATGACATTTAAAGAAACCATTTGTATTACAACCGTCATACATTTGAGAAATAATTCATACTGCAAAGGCATTTTATACCTGCATGCACAACATCCGTGATCTTCTTATTCCGCTTCAATACGTCATAACTCTGGTCCATATTAACCTCAGGTTGGACATGGCGAAGTCGAGCACTCGTTCTAGTAGCAGTACCCAGCTGTACAACAGGAGTAGCAGGGAAGGTAGAATACCCTAATTCATCAGGAAGATGAAGTGGGCCACCTTGGCTAGCAATCTTGTCACAGTATGCAACTAGTGCTGGATCCATCTGTGAAAGCATCCCATGCACCTGAAAAAAAAAACAAGGAATAAGATCAGGAGCAATTTCCAGACAAT